AATCGTGTCAAAAATCAAGTGTATTTCAGACTTAAGAAGGCAAAATGCTAGGGTTGGTACAGTGTAAGATCCAATGCACTTTGGGATCCAGGCAATGAAATCATATTCTGTGGTGGTCAAGTTCCATTCTCCTTCTCTTTAGTCTCAACTTCCTGGCATACTGTGGAGGATACGTATCGAGCTCCTCCCATCGACCGCTCCATCCTGCCAACTGCACCTCGTGCAGCACGGGAACCAAACATTGACCGCTCTCGGCTGCCACGCAGCCCACCCTACACTGCCTTCCTCGGTAACCTTCCCTATGATGTCAGCGAGGAATCCATCAAAGACTTCTTCAGGGGCCTTGCGGTCAGTGGGAATCTGCAAGTTTACATTGAGTCTTTCCTATCAGGAAATATTACTCTTAGCTGCTTGACAAATGCAGGTTGTGTGTAACTGGATATGTTTTGTGTGTATTCTCAGATCAGTGCAGTACGTTTGCCACGGGAGCCTAATAACCCAGAGAGGCTTAAGGGTTTTGGTTATGCAGAATTTGATGATGTTGAATCCTTCTTGCGCGCGCTCAGTCTAAATGAGGAGGTGGGTCGTCAGTAAAATACTGACCTCAGTCCATTGCCTTTGTTTTCTGTTTTGAGTTAACATTGCATTACATTTGTGTAGAATCTTGGGAACAGACGGATCCGGGTGGATATCGCAGATCAATCCAATGACAAAGGTGAACTGAAGATATACAAACTCCTTCATGTTGTCTTTGCCTCTGTGAAAGCATATTTCTATTATTATAATTTATATTTTCTTATATTTCTTCCAGAGAGGGACAGTGGGACAATGATGGGGCGAGACAGGGATAGAGGTCGTGGGATGGACTTTGGCCCTGATAAGACCGATTCTGATTGGAGGGCACGGCCAAGTGGGGACCAGGATGATGGACCACGCAAAGACGATGGATACGGTGACAGTAAGTTAAACAGATGCAAACTCTATATCATGCTTAAACCAGCGTTCATTTTCACAGCAAATTTAGTTATCTGAATTGTTTTAGTCTAGTTTAAGTTGTCTAAATATCATAAGATTGTTTTCTTTACAAGGAAATAACAGTGGTTATAAATGCTTTCTTTAAAACAACTTGCATACATCCTTCATTCTATCAAGTTGACATGTTATTTGTATAAATGAAATATAAATGAATCCATATTAAATTGTTATTAGTCATAATGTTACAATCACAAAATTTTGGCCAGATTGTGCAGCTCTACACACAAGCATAGCAAACGTGGAGCTCATTTTGTTGTTGTTGTTTTTTATTTAAATCGCAATGGCAATTTTAGTTTTTATTTCCACCAAATCATGCATCCCTAATTATAAGAAACTTTATGCTGCTGCTATTGGCAGTCAAGGTTAAATAGATTTCATCTTAAATCTGGTTTGACTATGTTAACACACTGTTTGCACTTCTTTGTGTAACTCATTGTGGTATATTTTTGCATGGTCACGTGACCGCTATGAGTCAGACCGATTCAGAGATGCTCCAAGACGTGATGATCGTTATGACAGCGGTCGAGATCGCTTCAGTGGTAGAGAACGCTACGATGACAGAGGTAGCAGAGACTATGATCGTGGAGGTTTGTAGCGTTTCGTCCATGGGTTTCACAAAAAAACATTGCTTCATTTTTCATATGATACCCAAAATGAAAGTAAACGCTAGTGCAGGTTAATTTCTCTTTAAGTTTCTGTGTTTTTGGTGGGTTATTAATTGCAGTTTGCTTTGTAAGTTATGCTATGGTTGTGATTGTCTTAGGTTATGACTCACGTGGTGGTGGAGGACGACGAGGATTCAGCAGTGGCTTCAGGCGAGACTATGATGACCAGCGAGATGGAGATCGAGAAGAGCGTTTAGACAGGAGGGATGATGGACGAGAAGAGAAGGGTACATGAGACGATGTTAATGCAGAAATAACACACTTCAGCTTTAAAGATACAAGTTTAATATCAGGAATGTTGTTTCTAAACTAATCCGATTTCATTCTAGGCCCTCCACAGAGGCCCAAGTTAAACCTGAAGCCACGGAGCATCCCAAAAGAGGAGGAACAGAGCGGAAGCTTGTCTCCGCAGAGTAACACTGCTAATTCCAGCAGGGCTTCCTCTATATTTGGAGCAGCCAAACCTGTGGACACAGCCGCCAAGGAGAGAGAGGTGGAGGAGAGGCTGAAGAAAGAACAAGAACGACTCCAGAAACAATTGGAAGAGGACAAGAACAGGGCCTCGGAGAGACGACCACGAGACCGGTGAGAATAGATGGGTTAATATAAAAGAGATTTTCTCTGAAAACATAACTTTTAAATTGTGATGAAAGAGTATTTATAGAATTTGTCTCTTTTTTTTTTTTTTACGCAGAGACTCGAGTTGGAGAAATGAAGAGCCATCTAAAGAGTGTCGACGCACAGGAAGTGAATCCTCGCAACCTAAAGGTAATAAATTTATGAACGTGTTAACTCTTTCTCTTTATTTTTTAGTTGATTATGATTTTTAATGAAATGAGGCCAGATTCGTTTTTTGTTGTTGCTTAATCAAAGATTATTGATATAAAGTGTGTGTTGTTTATTTATAAACTGTTTTATTTACTTTGTTTCTTCCAATGATTATAGCTGTGGTAGCTGGCATGGCGCTTAATTATAAACAATTATCAAAGCATGTATATTAGCTATGTACTAATATTACAATCCTGATGAATTATAACTTTCATATAATGGCTGATAAACGATAAAGCATTTTATGCTACATTTTATAACTGGTATTAAAAATCATAGTCGTAAAGAAACCTTGTAGAAGGACTATATTAGCTTTCTTTAATTGCAGTGAATGAATGACAGATCATGTTTGAAGCAGTATTAACTAAAACTAATACAAATATTTGTGTTAAATTAAAATAAAGCTAAAATAATATATAAATATTAGATAAAAAAAGCTAAAGTTAAATGAACAGTAGAAATGTTTCCTTGGAAACTGAAATGTTAAAGAGGTCTTATTATGCTCTTTTACAAAGTCTTGATTTTGTTTTGGGGGTGTACTAGAACAGGCTCTCATACTAGGTTATTCGAAAAACACATTATTTCTCACATATTTTACATTATTACAAGTTTTAAACCATATGAGTTTAAACTTCTGATATATGGTTTTTTGAGAGAACACATAATCCGAAGCATACGGACAGAAAGCGGCTGTCACAGCATGTAAGTACTAAACTAAGTTCTCATTCACACACAAGTTTACATTAAAGGGGTCCTATTATGCTCTTTTACAAAGTCTTGATGTTGTTTTGGGGGTGTACTAGAACAGGCTCTCATACTAGGTTGTTCGAAAAACACATTATGACGGCGCCGTGGGTGTAAACTTACAGATTAAGGGGCGGTAATATTATAATGAGATCCCTTTGCCACATCACCAAGGGAGCGAAATCAGACGCACTCCTTTTCTCAGACGCTTGCAGAAAAAGGCTTACCAAAACAAAGTTACTAGGTTAATCTTTTTCACGTTTCCTTGGTTGGTAGATGCACGGGGGACCTGATTAGCACTTAAAACCTGGAAAAGTCAGATTTTCATGATGTCACCTTTAATACTAAAATAAATACAAATGAATGCTAAATAGAAATATTGAAAAGAAAAAAAAACTAATAAAAATGAAATTTGAAAATGTACTCAAAAAATAATTAAAAATATTAATAAATACTATACAAGTATATAAATACTACTAAAATAACAATGGGTTGAAGATGTCTACAATGATAGTGAGAATACATATCCCTGTAAACTTTTTTTTTTTTTCCCAAGCAAATATGCCTACAAAAGAAAAGGCCCTGACATTAGTAACAAAGTGTTAAATAATTACTTCTGTATCTGTGATGTTCAGGATCTAGGAGTCAAGATGGTGAACATTCAGAGAATGAAGTCTTCAGTGGACAAGAGGATGAGCCGATCTCTCCTGCATGTCCATCACCCTCTTCCAATCAGGGAGGGCTTCCACTGAAAGTAATGCCAGCTCCTCCACCTAAAGAGAACGCCTGGGCCAAACGCAGCACAGGGGGTGGTGCTAATGAGAAGGAAGGACCACCCTCAGCTGCCCCTAGCAACAAAAGCGCTCTTAAACCCAACAGGTGTCCTTCCTCTCACAAGTTATGGAAATACAAATATAAAACACGCAATGATGAAGCACAAATAACACTTGTGTTTTTTTGTCTTTCTAGGTCAGCTGAAGAGAGAGTATTGGGTAAAGGTAAAAGTCCCCACAATAACACTTGAAAAGACTGGGAATTTTTTTTTATGAATATATACAGTTTTCACACTTGTCTGTTGTACTATTTGCTAGATGAAAACCGGGTTGATGGCGTTCGAAGGGATAAAGTTGTGCCTCAGGGAGGAGGAGGAGGAGTTGGGAGAGGAGGGGGTCTGGGAAGAGGAGTTGACTGCTCAAACAAAGACAAACAGAGAGAAACTGCAGACAGGTGAGGCAGCCTTCACAAATGTGAAATATTTTTTTTGTACAATATGAATTTGTACAACTGCATAGACATGACATTGACTAAAAAGCAGTATCTGAATCTAAATTACTTTTCTTTATATTAAAAGTGAATTGGAACTGCTAAGCTCTAAAACTGTCTATAAAAATAGTCCTTACAACTAGCATTTTATTACAAATGAAGCTGTAAGAAACAATGCTGTCCGAAAAGTTTTTAACACTAGGGCTGGGCTATATGACCAAAAATATTATCACAATATATATATATATATATATATTTTTTTTTTTACCATATCATACAATATCAATATTCATGTGCCATTACTGGGGAAGGAAATGCTTTCCACGTGTTTGTAAGACCTTAAAAATAAATATAAACTCTAACTTGCTTCACAATTAAACTCCACAGAATAGTTAACTTTTTATTTAGGGCCCCATGAAATTCATTAAACTTTTCCCCAAATTATGCGTTTTTTCTAATGAAGTGAATTAATAAAACAATTTAATTAGAATTTAAAATGTAATCCAATGAAAATAACAATTAATGTATTGTAAAACATTGCGTTTTAATTTGTCAAATATGATGCTGCACAACAGAACTGTATTAATTAAAACATGGAAGAAAAAAAATCTTGGTTGAATGATTCCTTAAAAATTATGATATTTATTAATTTGAGAAGTTAATTTTAGTAGACAGCAGTAATATATTTCTGTCATAATTTCTTCAAGTTAAACTGAAAATGCTGGGTTGTCATGAAGATCTTTGAGTTTCAGTTTGTATTTGACAGTTTTTTTTTCTCAACTAAAATGTGACTCAGAGCAGCTCTGGAGATGAAGTGAATGCATTCATGTCCTCATATATTGAGACGCAGATGCTGAAAACACACGTTTGAGTTTTTGTAGTAGATGAAACAGCACTATTCATTCACACAAAGACACGCAGAATAGGCAAACCCATTAGCAGCATGAACCGTCTGGCTGTAGTCATGTTTTTTTTCTGCTGTGTGATAGACTTAAATTAATCCATAACAAGTAAGAATGTCCAGAGCTTATCATTGCTATCAACATAAATTTTAGTGTGATCTCAATATAATATTGTTTATCTATTCTTAAACCCTTTCATGAATTTTAAATGACAGGAAGGAGGTCATACGGGAACGAGATCCTAGAATAGCCTCAGAACCAAAGAAATATGAAGAGAGCGCTCCTCCTGTGAGTACTTCATCTGGACCTGACACCTCACTGAGCAGATGTAGTCAACATGACAAGAAAAATTAGACCCTGAAAATAATTGATTGTAGAAACCTACATATTAGTGTAGTTGTTCAGCCCAATGTTGTGTAGAACTTCTTGCTCAGAAAGAAATATCAGAAAATTATTTTCTTCTACCACTCTTACTTGATCACAAAGGGTGCTTCTCAATATCCCTCCTCGCTTCCTCGCTCCTCCGTCCTCCATCCTATGACCCGGAAACGATCAAGCCATCTTAAGTAGGACATCTCAATTCTCTAATTGCACCTCGAGGAGGCGAGGATCGAGGAGTGAGGAGGCTTCCTAAGGAGTCATGAGCGTGGATACACAGATGTATCCTTTGAGGAAGTGTTTTATCAACTAAGCGTGACGCATGTGTACATTCTCCTCCCCCTTCACATCTGTCGTAATAATTTACATTTATATTTTACCTTTGCAGTTTAAATAAGCCATACATGTTATATATTTCAACAGGCCATCTTGCTTTATTAATATTCATTATGAATGCCTTAAATAATGAACTTCAACAACACAAGGGCAGATCCCTTTAGCACAGCTGATGACGCTTTGAAGTAACGCTTGAGTGGTCAAGAATATTCCAGTGTTCATCCTTTGATTCCTCAGTCCTCATTTCCTTTCTTTGCATCCTGCCCTCGTATCCTAAGGGGGGTTGGAGCTAAGACGCGAGGATGCACAAATAAGAAATGAGAAGCACCCGAACATTGAGGTTATAAACTTTCTTTTTGTCCCTACAGCAATTCAGCTCCGCAAGTAAGTATGCTGCCCTACTAATGGATGGAGACCAGGGAGAAGATGGAGAGGAATGAACAATTAGCAAGGATCAACTAACTTCAGAAACACAGAACAGAAGAAAAGAGCAACTGAATGATCAAATGAGGGGTTCAATTAGAGTTTCCTCATGATGAGGGTGTGGTGTAGCTTAAGGGATGATGGCCAAGGTACCCACAATACTGTTCTGTCACGTTTATGGAAATTTATACTGGTATTCGTAAAACTGGCCCATTTTAATTGAAAATAAAATAAAACAAATCAGTGCAGTACGTAGACAAATGCATTCATACATGTAGACATTTGAAAATCATTGTTAATTTGAAAGTCGTTATAATAAAAAATGTAAGATACTGTAACTTGTCTCTGAATTCCTTTTTTGGTTAATTCAGTCAGCAATTGCAATATGATGCATAGTAGCTTTTTCATAGATTTTATGTAATTGTTCACTCATAATGCTCAGTATTGTGTTTTAATGCCATAAACCATGTTGCATTTTTGTTGAAATCTCCCACTGAAGAGTTCGTGGTTAGCAGAAACACCCTCAGAAGGCGTATGCCAGAGGATAGGCTTTCCACTCAAATCCTTTAAATGCTTCAGACTGAAACTCAAGGTTTCTCTCTCATTTTGGTCATCTGTTCATTTCAAACCTGTGTAGCATTATGTTCTCAGGACAGGATAGTGAACTCCCTCAAAGTGCTCTCAAACCAATGTAATGGTCCAACACTGAGGCTGTGCAGATCCTCCCAGTCCCTTGGTGATTGAGTATTGAAAAGCTGTCCAAGACCCCTAATGCTTTTCCTTCCCAAGGACTATATTATCAAACTAATCAGAAAAATCTGACTGCATGAAAATCCACAGTTGGACTCCAGTGGCTGTATGTGTGCCACAAGAACATTGGTTTTGTGACATTTTCGAGCCGTTTTCTCTTAAGCTTTGAATGATTTTGCGTTTTGTGTGTTTCTCAAGGTGTTTTTCCCATAACTTCTTTATTGGATGGATTTTACGGCCCATTCTAGGGTGGGAGTTTGTTGCATTCTTTGTGTGGTCATATTGTGCTGTTCATCCATGTTTTCCCAGCTGCCCTAACTGAACCTCTCTTGCATGTAGCCAGATTTGAATGCAGTTCTATCCTTACAGAGCTACTACAGTGCATATGTATTGTCAAAATGTTTGTGAAAGAGAAAAGAGTTGTCTGATCTGGCATTTTCTTTTACCGATAATCCTTAAAACTCGTAAGGACTCAGTAGCTGCGTTCACTATTATGAGTGCATTGCCAATGTGTCTACACCTAGAAATACTGCAGCTCAATGACAATTAAAAACACACTCTGGTTTTGTGATGAATCAGATTTGATAAGCGTAATGTTTTTGTCGTCCCTGATGGCTTTTATAAACAAGCCATGGCTCTGGTCTGCCATACGGTTTATTTTAGGGCAGAAAATAATGTTTGCTTGGCTTCTAGTTAATGGGTATTGATAAACAAAAATTAACTAATGATAAAAGTTATTACATCTCATTCACCAAGAACAAAAAACTATTTGCATTTACACAAACAAACAACCAACGCCACTTTAAATGCAATGGCTTCTGATTGGCTGTCAAATAATCGTTCTGAAAGTCCAACAATATCACTGTGTTGTTGTCGTTGGTTATTATTCCCTATCCTCATACAATTACTAAATATTAAGTTCTAATTGTCCTTGGTGTGAACGGGCCTTAAGTTACAGGTTTTCTGTATGAAAATAGTTATAGAAATGATTCAGATAATTTATTGCAACACATTCACACCAAAAAACGATAAGTATGATGATTTCAGCATTTACGGTAAAGTTATTTTTATTATAAGCGCGCACTGCCACTTTAAATGCTCAATATTTTTAATGCGTGGATTATGATTGGCTGTCAGAATGTTATCGTTCAGCTGTAAAAAATAAAGAAATAAAATTATTTCTTTTAATTCCCTATCCCCACACAATTTGAGCTAGCCTACTATTAAAACTTTGTAGTTACCATAGTTATTATCCTTGGTGTAAACAGGATTTTAGACACTTTAAATACTTACCGTGGTACAAGAATAGTATCAGATGATAATACCTGGTAGGCTACTCACAATGAATGTACCATGATACTAATACGATGGAATTACCATAGTACATATTCTAGAATGAATGAATTAATAAAATTTATTAAACATTTAGAACTTTTAAATCGATTGGTAATTGATATTTTAGCATGTTTTCCTAACCTATAGCAGTGAGACATCTTGGGTGTAAGAAACAAAAAGCAGAATCAAGGTATGTTCTGAGTTTATAGCCTCTAGTGACAGATGCAGTGCTTTGTGTGTTCAGTGTTGTTTTCTGCTGTGTCAGCTGCATGTACGTGTTGTTTCTGTTGTCTGTAGAATGACAGTTGGTGCTAACTGGTGGTCTCTGGACACAGAACCTACTAGAGCGACCTTACGTAACCAAAAAACATTTATGCATTGGTAGCTTTTGGTAACAATTTTGTTGCTTTTTTGAGTCTCTTAGCTTTATGTTAGTTTACTTAAATAGGTTTGCGTGTGCAAATGTTTAAAAGTAAAAACAGTCCTTGAAGTCACAAAATGAGGTCATAAAGTTTTTATAACCTCATGACTACATGGATTGTTTATAAACTGCATTATATGTGAATGATAATTATGCAATAATCAGAAACATTTGAATTAATTTGAAATGCAGTAGCCTATCACACTGCAGAATACTTATATCTAGCCACATGCTATACTGTAATTACATTATGAATAATTGACAAACATTTGCAATGCAAATTACTTTAAATTGTAGTGAATTGTAGTTTGTTTTTGACACAAACAGTTTTGTGTAGATATTTTGAGAAAAGTAGCTACGTAATGGATAGGAAAGTGGGGAGTGTTGAACATTTATTATTTTTCTTATTTTGTTTTATAGAATATTTTTATATTTATCTATTATAAATTAAAGTTGTGTGTTTTCGTCCAGTAGAAGTATGTTGAAAACACGGTCATGATATTTATTTTATTTTATTTTTTAATAAAAAGTCTTCCAACAAGATGTAACCTTCATTAACATAATTGCAAATCAAATTATAACTCAGAAGTGAAATGCTTATTTTCTACCTCAAAATGTTGTTGTCTTACAAATCTTAAATCTTTTTTGACTCAGAGTCTTACAACTTCTACTGTTGCCTCAGGAAGATGGTGGTCCTTCACCCCTGTAGCCCATTTTTAATTCACTGAACTGATGTTACAACTTGCCCTGTTTTACAGAAACTTAATTATGAATGGAATTTTATTCATGGAAGAGTTTTTGTGGTTTCATGTGCTTCACAGTAACTTATTCAGTATTGCACCCACACATGCAGATGCGAGGCGAGTGCTGCTTGAACGGAGTGGATGTGAAAAAACAAGAACAGATGCTTTGTTGTCTCATTCTGCCAATGAAAGATGGAGATGAGGAGGAACAGAAGACCTACTGCTCTCTGTGTGTGGACTTAGGGACTGGGTGGTGGAGAGATGTTGGAATACAAGCCTTAGGGGTTGTGTGTGAGTGTGTGTGTGATGGCTCCCAGTGGGCGAGCAGAGCTCGAGTGCCAAAGAAGAGGAAGGGTCTGACGTAAGCCTGCCAAAAACAGCTGCGAGAGAGACGGAGGAGGGCGTTACATAGTGTGCATGTGAGGGGTTCAAGAGACAATCAGAGGGAGGACACCCCGAGAGACAGAAGAGGGAGACTTTGGAAGTCGGAGAGAATGTATGGAAAAGAAGGTGTGAGAGATATGATTCTGTGTTGGAACTGGACGCTAAGGCATTGAGGAACAAGGAGCCGTCCTTGAGGACAAGGGAAACATAAAACAAGGAGCAACCTGGACTGAAGACTAAGGAAAAGAAGGGCTAAGAAAGTGTAAGAGGAAACGGAAAGGATTTTCAAGGAGGAATTAAGCAAGTAGAATGGGTTGTGTCTTCAGCAAGCAGCGTTGGGTTACAGAGCGGAATCCCCAGCCCTCGGACCCCCCGAAAACACGAGACCTCACAGAGGATGCAGAGATTCTCAGCTTAACAGAGGTACATGTGTGTGTTTTTGTGTGTGTGAGTGTGTGAGTGCATGGGGTCATATATAGGTAAGAAGATCTCCAGGCAATAAATGCAGTGGGTCTGCTTCATTGGTTGTTTTATGTCTTCTGTAAATCATTACATACTTGCAGTCATATTGGGTTTTCAAATAGGGATCTGTTGAATTGAGAATCAATAGAGAACATATGTAAAACATATACAACTTGTTATTTTTAATTCATTGGTATCTTTTTAACTAATGATCTGTTTTGCATGATGTAATGTAGTAATGTTAATGTACTATATAAAAGTTATCTTAGTAACACTATACATTAAGTTCACATTCATTAACATTAGATAATGCATTAGGTATTATGAACTAAAAAACAAAAGTAAATTTTTTTTATAGAATTTGCTAATCCAGTTTAATGTTAAGTAAACTGTTGTTCATTGATAATTTTTTAATTCCTAATTCATATGATGTTCATTTTCTACAGCCTGAAATGTTAAAATGTATGGTGCACAAATGAACATTAATCTAGTTTAATAAATTATAAATAATTAGTTATAATTAGAATAATTAGTTCATGATACCAAATGCATTAACTATAGCTATATGCT